GGTGCGAGTTCGAGTCCCGTCTGCTACCTAGTTCGTGTCAAATTTTTCTAGCAAAATTTTGTTATTATTTATTTTCATACGCAAAATACCAATGAAGCTTAAAAAGATTCCGTAGTTTCGCGAGCGGGTGGCACCGCACGCGGCCGCGACTGAGCGGGCGGGTGCACGACTTCTTCGAACTTTTCAAGCGATACTGGTTCTTTAAATATTCCTTACTACTTTCAAAGTGAAAACGCTCGCCACCATTCCGGTATGAATCGGCCCTAACGAGAGGGTAAAGCGTATAGTGGCGTTCACGACCACTAATTTTCTCAATCAATTGTTCGAACGGCTAAGGAAGTGTCACTCAACTATTCCTCATCGCACTCTGAGAACTAATCAAATCGCAAAGGTTTCCGGACTGGAATTTCCGGTCGGGCATTTCTAATTAAATCTTCCTTAATTCATATAATTTGGTAGATGACTTTGGTAGTAGAAAGACTTGGTGACTTATTACTAAGGACATTTGTCACACGCATAAGTTGACAGTTTAAAGAATTCTTGTAACCTTTAGAGGCAATACCGATAATGCACATGATGAAATTGAAAGAAATATATTTTATATATCTGTACTAACTCGATTAAACAAAAATTATTTCTTTAAACGCACCATTTATATAAATACCATTTAGAGCATATTACCAGGGACACTATTTTGAAACCGCAATAGTTTTATTACATTAAAACTGACAACAATTTTCTCGAAACTGTTACAAAAGCATTCGATTAAAGTGCCACCTAGCGTCTTGAGGATTGAGAAAAAGCCTTATCGGGTGGTTTTACGAAAGGAAGAAAAACTAAAAAAAACACTTCGCCTTCGAGTTCAAGGCAAGTGGGGTGATAATTTTAGTGCTGCGAGTTATGACGAAACACAAGGTTTTAGTTACAATACGCTTTGTCTAGAGTTGCTTCGACATACAATATCGGATTGTTGATTGTGTTGCCACTAAAAGTTGTTTTACATGATTTTGGAGAAATGCTGAATGTTCGTTTATAGTGTGTATACTTAGATAGGAATCTAATTAGCCTGGAAAAGTAATGTAACTGATTGCATGTTTCAATATAAATATTGTAAGTAATAATACTCAATGTATTTATGGTTGTAATAATTCAATAAATAAACGCTTTTAAAATAAAAATAAATGAATGTGGAGAATGATGCATATATTTACGTTGTATTATTGTTTATATATTTTTTATGTTTTGTACTTTTAAATGAAATAGGAACCCTTAAAAATCACTTGAATGAATAGTTGTCTATTTATTTGCTAAAACTATTTATATCAACATTGCAGGGATTTTAAAACTGTAGGGTAAGTGGTAACTGCAGGGTGTAACTTACCTTACCAGTCCTACCACACCTCCCCATTGGTCTAATATCATGATCATTATCTGGCAAGTAACTAGCAATTTCAACAACGATAACTTCATATGATCAATAAAGTGTTGTATCTTGTATTGTAGGAATAGTTAATCTCCATTTTACTTAATGCAGTATTAAAACTTTCTGCTTCAAATTACAGTACGATTCGCCGTTCTTGTTTAAATTATTATTAAATTTAACGCTCAAGAGGGATTGAATAAGTTTTGATTCCAGATAGTTCAGCACCTATGATGTTGATTTAACTAGGTTAAAGGTTTCCTGTAGAAATTTCAAACAAGCTTTGGAGAATATTGATGAATAAATGTTTTCATTACATGAGAATATAACATAAGTAGAAGTTATCCAAGTATCAAATATTCTGAATAAATTAGACGAAACACTGGTAAACTTTGTAAACTTGCTCAATTCCACTAATCAATTATAATGACTCTAAACTTAGTTAATAAGTTTCCCTTTTCGGTCTGATCTTTGTCTTGGAGGATTTAATACTAATACAAGATTTAATCATCATCATCATCAGCCTATTAATGTCCTCACTGCTGGGGCACAGGCCATCCCTATGGATGGAATAGGGAGACCACGCAGGTGCAGTGAAAAATTCAATACGTGAATTTAAATCACAAACATTTATAAAGTCGAGGAAACTCCGAGAAGATCATGTTTTTATTTTGGGATGTGTCATCTTTTATATTTAAGTTTGATTATTTGTTACAGATTTTGAATGACATTGAACTGTCTGCCTATTACAGTAGTAGATACAGCCTGACTGACATACAGATTGATAGCATAGTCTAAGTAATGGAGTTTTGTTTTTTCTGTCCTTTGAATACGGGTTGTGTGTACACTGTATAGATGCCAGGGCCCTAATTCACTAGGTTGACAATGTCAGTGACATTATTTCATTGACATGATAATATGTAACAGTTTGTTACAATTGTCCGTATCTTACTTCAACGACAATATGTTGTAAAACAAGGATAATGAGTCGACATATTTGTCAAATTGACAGTAATTCTTGATATGAATTCGGGGCTGTGTGAGTTTTGTGTTACAGTTGTGGTGTTTTCGTTGTTATTTACAAAATGCCTCTTCGCGAAAGATGAATTCTTACAGAGGAAAATGTATAAAGAACGAGTAAATTTCTCTTCGATATTACTTAATATGCGTTAAAAAAAATTATATAATAGATCACTGCACAACAAACCGTTGGTTAACATATTATGCCAGCGAGTATAATATGTCGACTTGATGTAATGGGGCACAGGTAATTTAAGTACACTGATTTATTATTGTAGTCAAACTACTAAATTTAGGTGATTGAAGAGGGATAAATCATGTGATGTGGAACATGCGAGACTTCATCCATCCATCTATCCATCCATCAGCCTTTCTCCGTCCACTGCTGGACATAGGCCTACCCCATAGAACGCCACAATGCGCGGTCCTGCGCTATCCGCATCCAGCGGCTTCCAGCACATTTGACTATTTGGCTAAGCTCGGTGTTTCCCTACGTGATAAGATCCGAAATACGGGGATCCGTAGAAGGTCCGGTATGTACGACATAGCCCGAAGAGTTAGCACGCTGAAGTGGCAATGGGCAGGCCACATCGCTCGAGGATCTGACAACCGTTGGGTAAGAAAGGTCCTCGAGGGGCGACCACGTACCGGACGATGCAGTGTGGGGCGGCGCCCAACAAGGTGGACAGACGACATGCGATACTTATTGTATACAAAATATCAAACAGTAACTAAATAAAAAAATAGACTGTTCAATACTTGATTATGCTTCCGATTTCAATAAATGAAATGACTGACTTTATCCACCCCGAAATAAATCATATTTTAAATGTTTTACTATATTAAAGATTCACTCAGAGGTATCTTTTAATTTTACATTTGATTTAATTAAAAATTTAAATTCGTTTAAGACAACGCATGAATTTAACAAGCATGAATAACGTCACTGATAATGTTCATTCGCTATTTGTTGCCCTCGTAAAAGACCTTCCTCTCGATAAGAAATATTTGTTATTATAGATTAATGATGTAACCTAATTATTTACTTGCTCAGATAAGAATTGATAACCACGATGCCTAACGACAGTCTCTGGAATAATAAAAAAAAATCATATTTTTTTATTGTTATGCATTAGTAATGTATTTGCTAAAAAAAATAAAAAAGTGTATATTTTTTATACCGAATCGTCGTTAGCCCGAATACGAGTGTCAACGGAATTCGGATAAATGACTAAGTGTAAATCGTACATTCGGGTAGTTTTGTTTTGGTTACTTCCAGCCCGTATTCCAATGTAAACATTGCTTCGCGTGCCCTAAATCGAGTAATGTCTTTCGCGCACCCGAATACGTGCTAACGACCAAATTTAATTGAGCCATAAAGTAAATCTTTATACATAAATTAATCATAAATAGTTCTAAAACTTAATACTAATTTAGCTTAATGCTAAAAACACAGATTATTGGAGTTTACTCCTTAAGAATCGATTTGCATATATAAGGGGCCCGGTATGAGAAAAATGTGAGGAGTAAAATCTATCGATGAATGACCTCGTTACGTTTTTGGTGCGCATCCTATGTCGCGCAACTTTGACAAACAAAGATGACGGCTTTTCATTAATAAAACTTTTAAAATCTGAACTGAATTCAGATATTGTTTCTGATAGAGCAATGGGGACAACGAGGTATGGTACAACCATTGATGCGGTATTTTCAAGATTCGTGAACCACGTATCTACGAACGTCCATGTGTCTTATTTTAGTTACCATAAACCACTTGTCACTGTAATTAATAATGCAGACAATGTTGATTTAATTAATATTTAAAAAAAAGATAATAGTCTGATAATATAATAGTCTAAGCATACGTAGTACTGAAAATAAGTTTGAGTTCAAAAAACTTGTGCGTGAACACTACCTGACTACGTGATTTTTCCCTATAGTTTGCATCGATATATATTATATTTATTGTATTTTATGTATGTTATGCATATATATATATATATATATATATATTGATGTATATGTGTATGTTTATGTATGGTTATATGAGTATTTAATATGTGTGCATCAATTTGTATTTAAGTATTATTATTTTATTGCTGTTATTTTGATATTGTTCATGTTATTTAATTTTTAGCAATTTTGCTCTATCGCCATACTATTTGTCTCTAACAATCATACTGGTTGACTGGTAGAGAATGCCTATGGCATTAAGTCCGCAGTTTGCTTATGTTTGGCAATAAAGTTTAAATAAAAATAAATAAATAATAATTACATAATTTATCAACATTCCTAATGATATATTTATGCACATCTGAAATTGACTATTGTAAAAAGTTTAATGTAAAATATTTCGTCGATTAGTTATGATAAATGTATATGAAATTAATAAATATATATTTATATATGTATATTATTTTCATTAATTTGTTAATTTACCCTTTCATACAGTATTTATCTTTTTTAAGTTAAATAAACTCTTTTTGCGTCTGGTTAGACTATCGAACTTAAGGAGTAAACTCCAGTCGTGCGTCGGAGCTGACACACACATTTTTTTTTATCAACTTTGTTTTATTTTATTTTTTGTTACACTTATTCTAAATAATGTACTCAACATAAATTTGATCACCAAAGCAATTGCTAATAATGTAGAGAAGGCAATTGCAGCTAGTGTAAAAAGGACATCTGCCATGAGGTATTCAGCCCAGGAGATGTTCGCCGCCAGAGAGCGTAAGTGGCGAGCTCCCTTATGTCGTATAACGTACTCCGTCCACCACACGGCGCGCTCCATTGGAGTTTGAAGCTGGTCATTCATGATTTCCTTGAGTTTCCTGATGTTTTCCCTATAACTGAAAGAGAAAGGATTGAGAATTTGAAATACAGACATACCTCTTAATTATATAGAAATCAATTTCAACCTATCGATTGAAACGTCAGAAGCAACAAAAATTGGAAAACGCGTAAGATTTTTTTTAATCAAAAAATAAAACCGACTTCGAAATAAAAGATGGAACTAATAAAAAGTAAAAAATAATATCTGGTTCAAGATTTGGAAGTCGGGCGGGGTCAAGATTGAAACATTAAATAGATTTTCTGATCGGTAATAACAGGTCTTTCAATCTTGACCCGCCCGACTTCCAAATCATCATCAAACAGATATTATTTTTTAACCGACTTAAAAAAAGGAGGACGTTCAGTGTTCGACTGTATAAATATTTTTTTGAGTGTGTTCGCCGATTTCTCCGTCAATTGTGGAACGATTTCCAAAATCCTTTGTTTTTTATTCGAAAGAGTGCACTTCCGAGGTGGTCCCATTGGAACCAAGTCAGGATCTGATGGAATCCGGAGAAATCGAGGGAAATATTGAAATTTCAAAGGCACGCACGATGTTTTTTATGCATGTTCACCGATTTCTCCGTCAATTGTGTTATTGTTTACTTGGACGATGTAATTTTCACTAAAACGGATGAAATAATTAAAAAAAACCGACTTCAAAACGAAAATGGAATTAAAAAGTAAAAAATAATGTCTGGTTCATTCATAATGTTTCAATCTTGACAACGAATCAAATCAGATCTTGACTTGGTTCCAATGAGACCACCTCGGAAGTGCACTCTTTCGAATAAAAAAAGAATTTTGGAAATCGGTCCACAATTGAGGGAGAAATCGGTGAACATATATAAAAAAAATATAAAAAGTCGAACACAGAGCCTCCTCCTTATTTGAAGTCGGTTAAAAAGAGTAATTGCGAATGAATCAAAAATGTGTGTGGGGACCATGTCTTATGGCGGTCTGTTCTCTCGGTTTTATTACGCAAGGGGCAAGAAAACCCGGTTTCGAATCCCGTCTGACTGAATGGACAGCGTGGATTATTTTTTAAGTATTTTTTTTCCCAATTTTATTTAAATGTAGCAGTTAAATGCATGTAATATGCAATAAACTGTATATGAGATGAAAATACTGGCTGAATGTACTGTGAATCATACCTTTTGTTATTCAAAACGTGTCTTATGCCTTCTAGCAGCGCCTTAGCATCCAGAGTCAAAGCATCAAGTTTTACTCCGATACCGAGTTGCTCGTGTTTGTGTGCATTAAAATATTGGTCACCCAACATAGGAATAGAGACTAATGGTACTCCAGCATCTATCGCTTCGTCGGTAGACTGCAAACCTCCTTGCATTACAAACAGCTTTACGTTAGGGTGTGCTGTAAATAGCGTAATAAAAACAATATATTAATACTTTTAATTATGATTCTTCAGATTTCATGTTTTAACTTAAAATAGACTATAAAACTCGTTTCGTTTCTCGGTATAAACCACCAGGAAAAAAATTACCTCACGTGACAACAATCACTGTAGAAGTTTATCAATCAGTTTTTTTTTGTAATTTCGGTACTTATTTCGGTGAATTTTGACGCTTTAAATACTAATATAGAATTTAATATTGAATAATAAATAACAGCATAAATTGGGTAGTATCAAAGTTTACCTAATAAATCTCTTTGTGGGAACCATTTCTGAATTTTCACATTTTTAGGAATCTTTGTCAGGTTATCTCCATCAAATTTCCATAGAATATCATATGGAAGGGCTTCAAAGGCACCCAAAAATGCATTTAGCAATTCCTCGTCCATATTAGATGGCCGCACGTTGGTTCCCAGGCTGACGTAAATCACACCAGTGTCTGAATTATCCATGTACGATTTCAAATCCTGCAAAAGATACGAGTAAATACATCATTGAAAGGAAATAGGGCCGAATGTGGTCTAATAACATTGAAATTAATAAATTCATTTATTACATCTAGTTAAGTAAGCATAAGCCGGTATTTATAAGCACAGAAAGATGATATGTATCATTTACGTAAACTTGAAGTTTTTAAAAATCTCTCCTTAGTTCAAAAAAAAAAATATATTTTCTCAAGTAAAAAAATTATAAAAATAAGTTGAAATAGGTATTAAGAAAATATTTTTATAAAAATTAATTTAGTAATTTTTGTGTAAAGTAGGATATACCTATTAAAAAGGAATCTCATACCTGTGGTAACTCCTTTAAGGGTTGTAGATGTAGCGGTCCTACGAAAGCTACGTTTGGTGGGACTGGTCGATTGTTACAAAATATTTGATTTGAGTTTATTAATAGAAAATCAATGTTATTTTTTAATTCTGAAACTGTAGGGCTTTTTGAACCAAATTTGGTTTTCAGCAGTTGGTTTTCGTAATCATCAACCTGTTGAAAAACTCTCATATAATCGTATTCCATTTTAGCCTCGTATATTTTTTCTATAAGAGTCAAGTTTTCATAGTTTTTTCTCATTATTCCTGGGTAGAAAATGGGATGTCTGGCTACGGCACCCACAATTTCGTAACTTTCGGCAAACCCGTGAAATGATGAGATGAGAATTGCTGGAGCCTTGAAGATCTCAGTGAAAATAAGGTGATAATTTAAAAAACCTTCTAATATAATCAAATCAAATTGTTGATTTTTGTCTTGAATAATTTTTTCTACAGCGGGATGGTTCAGTTCTTCCACATAAACTTGCAACATTTTCCTATAAGTATCAAACGACAACATTGTTTTCACATCCACCACTACACCACGTTTGTAATTAGTCATATCACTTTGAAACTGTTTTACTATGTTATAGGAAGAGCTGACATCAATTTCGGTGATGTTGTAGGGTGGCTTAGTTTTGAGAAAAGCGGGATCTGGTGTTATCACAACTAGTTCGTGTCCTCTTTTTGCAAGTTCTAATGTTAATGTTCTGAACACATATTGATGGCTTATAGAAGGTACAGGAAACACTCCTAGTATTCGTGCAGAATCTGCAGCTGCAGCTAATAGAATCACAGCTGAAATTGTGCTCGATAGTAACATTGTGACACTTCAATTACCAACTTTTTTACTACAACGAGGTAAACTTTATTTATATACTTATTTGATAAGAAGATTACAAGTTAATAATAGTCAAAACATAAGGAAAAATCTGATAAATGTGCTACAGAGACCTTGACGAGATAAAGTAATAAGTACTTTTGATAATTTTGAAAGAGACGCTTACGATAAAATCTGAATGATATTGGATAAAGCAAGCAACACAAAAGCAACCTGAGTTGGACGTGATAAAAACATGATATATGAAAAACAAATCTTCTATCATTAGTTTAGGGCTTTCTTTAGCTGTGGTGGAGAAATACGAAAAAAAATTTAAAACACGAAAGTATATGTACCGTCACTTACAATTTAATTATTGAGTAGATCAGGGATCAAAAAACCTTAAAAATATTCTTAGCTCAAAACAAAGTGAAGTTGTAACCAAATATGCAGTGGCGGTATCAAGGTAGATGCAGTGCAGGCTAAGCACATGATAATCATTTGATATGGACGTGATAACGTTTACTTTTGTCTACGAAATTCTTATCAGCTGTAAGCAATGAGTGTGTATTTTGGCTTACTTGTTATTAAAGAGTAATCACGTCGTGATTATCAGTCTTTAAAGTCGGACTACAATAAGTCTGCAGTGGACAGACAGTAGCAAAACTTAATTGATTATAGTTAAATTAACTATCCCCGATAATTTATTACTAACCGACTTAAAAAAGTGGAGGAGTATATTTATAACAACCACAAAAGTGGTTGTCATAAATATGTTGTTATATTTATGTGCCGATATCGATAATTAAGTTTTAGGGTTCCGTACTTAAAGGGTGAAAACTGATCCCTATTGCTGACATTCTGTGGTCTGTCTGTTTGTCCGCATGTCACGTTTCTCTAAATCGTATAATTACAGAACTGAAATTTTGGCATTATATGTGGAATGCTTGGCCAATGCCGAATTTATAGTTCAAAATTCTATTTAATTATTTTTAATTTGGGGTAATAATGTCATACACGTCATACATCATTGTCTAGAGCTCGTTGAGTAGGATTTGAATTTACTGTATATGATATATTTGGGATGGGGTTGGAAAATATAATGCCCGTTCACACTTGACATTGCAACTCAACTTTCTTTGCCTGGAGCCATGTTCCCTTAGAAAATGGTAGCCGTGAAATTTATAGTTTTTAAACCATTTCTGCTACGTGGTAAATCTTAAAATCAAAACTAGTTACGAATGCAAAAGTTCGGTATGTGCCATATGCCCAGCATATAGCAAAACTTCAATTTCAAAATCTATATTTAACAACAAATACTGAAAACGGCGGCTCATAACGTAGGTACAAACGTCAGTATATAAATAAAGTTTCGTGCATTAACCCGTTAAAACTAGTTTTATTTAACTTATTTTTTATAAAATAAATTCTACGAAACAAGTGTTCGTCCGCAATTAAAACATTAGTATATTATCTAACCTTATATGAATACAAATTTTAGATACATAGGTATATAGAATGTAACTGTTGTAATGTAAATAAAAAATGGGAATATAAAAACAAACTAATATGAAGAAATTAATTGAAACTCACTCGTTAAGGTTAAGATTCCTTCATAACATTGTTCTTTTTTTATAAGACCGACTCCATTTGTTCTTTTGCAGATTTGTTATGACTTATTATTTTATAAATAACTTCACCGACTCTAATTTTCTCTTTTCTATTCACTCCACTAACAAAAAAAAAAACAAAAAATGGTTTTTCAAATGATAGATTCTTGCATGACATGATATCTGAATGACGTCTTAAAAGAGCTGCCAGATGAAGTTTTTCTGGTGTGACCAGATTAAGATTTCGTGGTCCGACTGTAATATAATTTGTCACCAGCGGCAGTTTGTTAATGTTTCCGCTGCTGGGGCTCAGGCCTTCCCTTTGAATCGAATAGGGAGATTCAGGCATGAACCACCTCTCGGC